AAAGAATGTATTCAACTTGGAGGGTTGCCTTTCAGGTTATATCTGGTAATATTGGTGGAGTCGGAAAGGGAGAAATCACTTTGGGGGCTTTTTATTAGGCACACATTCACTGTACACAACATTTTGTTTTCCACAATTGGACTGGTTCACTGTCATTTTGACCCAACTTCAAGACCATGGCTTTTGAAAAACAAATTAACAATGAGAAAGAAAAATCTATCCAACCTCATTTACCAGAGAAATTAAAACTAATATTACAACAAGAAAATAATATTACAGCCTATCATCTTGTCATGGAATATTTATAAACAATATAGCCATTTTTGCTACAGAAATAAGTAAATGAATACTCATTCAATGCTGATAGGTATGAATTATAGAGGGTGAGTGACATAAATGATCTCAATGAATTCTCAAATTAACTTTATGAAGTGAGCACTCATGTTATCTTCATTTTATAAAGAAGGGAACTGAAATTTAAACATGGCAAATAACAAGCTGAATTGTGAGCAGCAGGCGTACATTCATCTTTTTCTGACTTCAAAACTTATGTAAGTCTCAGAGAGTGTTGTGAATACAGGTGATTTTAAATTTCTTCTGTATCTCCTATCTATATGAAAATAACAAACTTTACAATTTTTATAATAAAATTTAAACTCCTGTTTTTGTTAGCGGTCCTTCCTGGAGTTAAATCTCTCTATATTTGTGAGGCCACCTTCTATGGAAGTTTCAGCCAATAATCTAGATCATCAGTTTGAAACTACTAACTGCTTCACAGTAGAAAGACGAGGCTTTTTATTCCTGTGAAGAGTTACAGTCTTGGAAGCCCACCTGGAGAGTTCGACCCTGTCCTGGTGGGTTCCTGAGTGGCAGAATTTATTTGATGGCAACACACACACACACACACACACACACACACTATCCAATGATCAAGAGATACAGTTACAGATTCCATAGGGGCAACATTTGTGACCCTCAAGAGTGACATGGGATGGAAGGGCTCCTTGCTTTAGCAGAGGGCTTTCTAGGAGGAAAGCCTTACATAGCACTTGAGTAATTTTCCTCTTTATCAATTCATGCCTTAAAAATGGAAATGTTTCCACAAACTAATGAATAACTAGAAGCACTCACTAGTCTGGGCCAAGAAATTTGGAAGATAGCTACCTTGTCCACTAATTGGAAGAGCTCAGTATTTCTGCCCATTCCAAATAAAGGTGACCCAACAGATGGGAAAATTATCAAACAATATCATTAACATGCAATTAATGTGTTTGTAAAGAGAATAAAAAAACAGTTGCATCTTTGGTAGAGTTGTATGTTAATTATCTTTGCTAAAGATAATTCACAAAACAGTATATTCACAGTGAGCTGTCAGAAATTCAAACCAGACTCAAAAGAGGACATAGAAGGAGGATTATCTTGCTGACATCACATGAATTGTGCCTCAGAGTAGAGGCCACCCAAAAGACTTTTGCTTGTGTTTTATTGACTGTGCCAAAGCACTTGAATGAATGAATCTAGATAACACTGCAAAAAGACAATTCCAAAATACCTAACTATGTTCCTGAAGATCTTGTACATAGAGCAAGAGGCCGTCATTTGAAAAAAGTGAGAGGGGACTACATGGTTTAAAAGAAGGAAAGGTGTGTCATTTCTTTACACTAATTCAATCTGTATACTCAGCAAATACATGGAGAAGCTGGACTATACAAAGAAGAATGTGGCCTCAGGATCGGAGGAAGGCTCACGAACAGCCTGTATGATGCAGCTGATACCCCCTGCTCACAGAAAGCAAAGAGGCCTTAAAGCCCTTGCTAGTGAAGATCAAGGATGACAGTCTTCATTGTGGATTACAACTCAATGTAAAGAAGACCGAAATCCTCACACCTGGACCAATGGATAATATGGTGTCAAATGAAGAAAAAAATTGAAGTTTTTAAGGGGTTCATTTTACTTGTATCCACAATTAATGCTCATGGAAGCAGCAATCTGTATAGGAAATTCAGACTAGGTGAATAGCTAAAGTCACTGTATCAATAATTACTTAAGGGGAGGTTATGGGGAAATGGGGAGCTAACAATGAGCATTGGAAAGAACAAAATGTTCTGAAACTGTGGTAATGATTGTAGAGCTCTTCTTAATATTATTGAACTACTATATTGTATGATGTTAATTATATTCTCACAAAACTGTTTGTAAAAGCAATCATGAAATCCGATAACTTATTGCATTGGAAAAGTCAGCTGTACAAGACCTCTTGAAAACGTGGACATGGACAAAACTAATGGACACTATGCTTAACAAACTCAGCCAATCTTAGCAAAAAAAGAGAAGGAGCTGAAGAAGAAGAAATGTGTTTTATTCACCAAAAGACAAGACTTCGATAACTCTTAGGAAGCCTAGGAGGTGAGTCAGAAAAGAAAGAAAGGAGGGATCAGAGAGGTGGGGAGAGAAAAAGAGGAAAGTTTAACAGGAAAAAATAAATAATAAGTAAATAAATAAAATAAAATGTCATCTCATTTGCATGTAACAAATGGACAATGAATAAGAAGACGGTCTTTGAAATGGATGCCTTTGAGTGAAATACATTGACGGTACCACGGACTGCCTGGAGAAAAAACAAATCTGTCTTACAGGAAGTAGATAGAGAATTCTCTTTCATCCTAATGACTTTGGACATGTCATCAAAAGGGACTAGTCCCTGGAGAACATCACACTCGGTGGTACTAATGATATTGTTCGATAATTTTCCCATCTGTTGGGTCACCTTTCTTTGGGATGGGCAGAAATACAGAGCTCTTCCAATTAGCCGTTAGCAAGATGAATTGGCACAATAGTTGCAACAACAATCTCAAATACAACAACGATTATGAGGCTGGTTTAGGACTGGGTAGTGTTCAGTCTTGCTGTACATCAGATTTCTATGGACCAGCACCAGCTTCACACCGCCTAACAATAGCAGCAGCAATTCACATCCATCACTTCTTAGCCCAGATCATGACAGCTCGTGCAAAAAGCATACCCCTTTTTGCAATCTTATTCATTCATTCTTTCTTTTTTTTTAGTCATTTTATTAGGGGCTCATACAACTCTTATGACAATCCATACA